CTGCATAGCAAATGAAACAGTCAACAAAGAGAAAAGGGAAGCCATGGAATAAGAAAAGAATGCAAATTACATTTAGGGGTTAATGTCCAAAATATATAAGGAACTCCTACAACTCAATAACAAAAAATAAATAAATAAATAAATAAAGACTTGAGGCAAAGCAAGATGGTGAAATAGAAGGCTCCCCAGTTGTTCCTCCCCTCCCCGACCAAGAACACCAATTTAATAACTATCTACACACAACAAAAGGTACCTTCATGAGAACCAAAAATCAGGTAACCACTCACCGTACCTGGTTTTAACTTAGTATCCCTGAAAGAGGCACTAAAAAGATAAGCAAAATAGTTTTAAATCACTAACACTGCCCTTACTCCGTCCCCCAGCAGTGGTAGTATGAGCATTTCTGGGCCCTGGGGAAAGGGAGATTGCAGCAACTGTGAGGCATTTAACTCAGTGCTGCCGTATTATAACAGAAAACAAAATCGGACCAAACTCAGCTGATGTCTGCCCATGGAGGGAGCATCAAAATCAGCCCCAGCCAGGGAAGAATTGTCAATCCCAGTCGTCCAAACTTGAGTTCCTGCAAGCCTCACCACCATGTTCTACAGTGCTTTGGGGCCTTGAACGAACTTGAAAGGTATTCTAGGCCACAAACATTGCAACTCCTAGGCAAGTTCTAGTGTTGAATTGGGCCCAGAGAACCACATACGTGACCTACTGAGACACCAGCCAAGGCGGCTATGGAGTGCTGGCATCACCTCTCCCCTAACCCCAGGATACACAGCTCATAGCTCTAAAAGAGACCCTTTCTCTCCACTGAACAAGAGGAGAGGGAATACTAGGAAGGACTTTTACTTGCATCTTGGATACTAGCTCAGACACAGCAAAATAGGGCACTAGTCAGAGTCATGAAGCCCCCTTTCCAGCCCCTCGCTCTGGGATGACATTTCTAGACACACTATAGGTTGGAAGGGAACTCGCTGCCTTAAAGAGAAGAACCCAGTCCTAGCAGAATTTATCACCTGAAGATGCCTTGGGTCCTGAATAACCAGCAGCAATACCCAGATACCACATTGAGAGCCTTAGGTGAGACTATGAGACTTGCCGGCTTCAGGTGAGACTCGGCACATTCAGTTGTGGTGGCTATGGAGCAAGGCTCCTTCCACTTGAGAAAAGAAAAGGAAAGGTAAGGGGAACTTTGTCTTGCACCTTAGGTACCAACTGGGCCAAAGTGGGGTAGAGCATCAAGCAGGCTCTTAGAGTCCCTAATTCCAGGAATTGGCTCTTGGATGGCATTTCTGGACTTTCCCCTAGGCCAAAGGGGAGCCCACTGCACTGAAATATGAGTCCCAGGCCAGGTAGCATTCACCACAAACTGACAGAGGAGCCCTTGGGCCTTCAAGAAACATTGATGGTAGTCTGGCAGTACTCCCACAGGCCTGAGGTGTTGGTGGCCACGACATGAGGCAACGCTGCCATGGGAAAGTGGAGGGAAAGAGTGGGAAGGACTGCATCTTGTGGTTTGAGTGCCAGTTCAACGGCAGTACAATAGAACAATAGGTAGACTTCTAAGGCTTTTTGGCTCCTGGAGAGCACTTCCGGACATGCCTGGGGTCTGGAGAACTCACCACCCAGAAGGGAAGAACACAGGCATGACTGGCTTTCCCACTTACTGACTGTAGAGCCCCAGAGCCTCAAAGAGCATAGGTCATAGCCAGGAAGTGGTTACAGCAGAACTTGAGTGAGACCCAGTGCTGTGCAGGATTCAGGTCTGACCAAGCACAGTCCTAGGAGTGGTGACCACAGGGCTGCTTGTGTCACTCCACCCTCAACTCCAGGGGAGAGGTGGGGTTAATTAATGGGTACATAAAAAGAGAAAAAATGAATAAAAACTAGTATTTGATAGCACAACAAGTTACTATAGTCAATAATAATTTAATTGTACATTTTTTTAAAAACTAATAGGGTATAATTGGATTGTTTATAACACAAAGGATAAATGTGTGAGGGGATTGATCCTCCATTTTATATGATGTGATTCTTACACATTGCATGCCTGTGGCAGAACATGTCTTGGACCCCATAAATGTATATACCTACTATGTACCCACAAACATTAAAACTTAAAGTGTAAAAGGAATTTCAATAACCCAATTTTAAAATGGGCAACGAATCTGAAAAAAAAATTCCTCCAAACAAGACATATGTGATTGCCGACTTGGGGTATCAAATTGACTGTAATTTTTATTATACTTCTGGGGTACATGTGCAGAATGTACAGGTTTATTACTTAGTTATACATGTGCCATGGTGGTTTGCTGAACCCATCAACCTATCATCTACATTAGATATTTCTCCTAATGCTATCCCTCCCATAGCCCCCTACCCACTGACAGGCCCCAGTGTGTGATGTTCCCCTCCCCGTGTCCATGCATTCTCATTGTTCAACACCCCCTTATGAGTGAGAACATGCAGTGTTTGGCTTTCTGTTCTTGTCTCAGTTTGCTGAGAATGATGGTTTCCAGCTTCAACCATGTGCCTGCAAAGGACATGAACTCAACCTTTTTTATGGCTGCATAATATTCCATGGTGTATATGTGCCACATTTTCTTTATCCAGTCTATCATTGATGGGCATTTGGGTTGGTTCCAAGTATTTGCTATTGTGAACAGTGCCACAATAAACATACGTGTGCAGTCCTTATAATAGAATGACTTAAAATCCTTTGGGTATATGCCCAGTAATGGGATTGCTGGGTCAAATGGTATTTCTAGTTCCAGATCATTGAGGAATCACCACACTGTCTTCCACAATGATTGAACTAATTTGCACTCCCACCAACAGTGTCAAAGTGTTCCTATTTCTCCACATCCTCCCCAGCATCTGTTGTCTCCTGATTTTTTAAAGATCACAATTCTAACTGTCGTGAGATAGCATCTCAATGTGGTTTTGATTTGCATTTCTCTAATGACCAGTAATGATGAGTTGTTGTGTTTTTTTTTAATGTTTGTTGGCTGCATAAATACCTTCTTTTGAGAAGTATAGTATAGTTTGAAGTCAGGTATCGTGATGCCTCCGGCTTTGTTTTGTTTTTGTTTTTTGTTTGTTTGTTTGTCTTTGTTTTTGTTTTTTTGTTTTTTTTTTTTTTTTTTTTTTGCTTAGGATTGTCTTGGCTATGTGGGCTGTTTTTTGGTTCCGTATGAAATTTAAGGTTGTTTTTTCCAATTCTGTGAAGAAAGTCATTGGTAGCTTAATGGGGATAGCATTGAATCTAAATTACTTTGGCTATTTTCACAATACTGATTTTTCCTAACCATGAGCATAGAATGTTTTTCCATGTGTTTGTGTCCTGTCTTACTTCCTTGAGCAGTGGTTTGTAGTTACCCTTGAAGAGGTCCTTCACATCCCTTGTTTGGGAATTCACTCGTGGTTTGACTCTCTATTTGTCTATTACTGGTGTATAGGAATCCTTGTGATTTTTGCACATTTATTTTGTATCCTGAGACTTTGCTAAAGTTGTTTATCAGCTTAAGGAGATTTTGGGCTGAGACCATGGGGTCGTCTATAAATACAATCATGTCATCTGCAAATAGAGACAATGTGTCTTCCTTTTTTCCTAATTGAACACCCTTTATTGCTTTTTCTTGCCTGATTGCCCTGGCCAGAACTTCCAATACTATGTTCAATAGGAGTGGTGAGAGAGGGCGTCCTTGTCTCATGCCAGTTTTCAAAGGGAATGCTTCCAGTTTTTGCCCATTCAGTATGATATTGGCTGTGGGTTTGTCATAAGCAGCTCTTATAATTTTGATATACATTCCACTGACACCTGCTTTATTGAGAGTTTTTTGTTTTTTGGTTTTAAGCGATTTTTTTGAGGTGGACTGCACCACTGCAATCCACTCTGTCGCCCAGGCTGGATTGCAGTGGTGCAATCTTGGCTCACTGCAACCTCCACTCCCCAGGTTCAAGCAATTCTTTACCCCCCAGGTTCAAGCGATTCTCCTGCCTCAGCCTCCTGAGTAGTTGGGACTACAGGTGCTTTCCACCACACCCAGCTAATTTCTTTTGTATTTTTAGTAGAGATGAGGTTTCAACATCTTGGCTGGGCTGGCCTTGAACTCCTGACCTCTTGATCCACCCTCCTCAGCTTCCCAAAGTGCTGGGATTACAGGCGTGAGCCACCCCACATGGCCTATTGAGAGTTTTTAGCATAAAGAGCTGTTGAATTTTGTCAAAGGCCTTCTCTGCATCTATTGAGATAATCATGTTGTTTTTGTCTTTGTTTCTGTTTATGTGATGGATGACTTTTATAGATTTGCCTATGTTCAACCAGCCTTGCATCCCAGGGATGAAGCAAACTTGATCATGATGGAAAAGCTTTATGACATGCTGTTCGATTTGGTCTGCCAGTATTTTGTTGAGGATTTTCACATCAATGTTCAACATGGATATTGGCCTGAAATATTCTTTTTTTGATAAGTCTCTGCCAGGTTTTATTTGGTCTCATAAAATGAGTCAGGGAGGATTACCTCTTTTTGTGTTGCTTAGAATAGCTTCAGAAGGAATGGTACTAGTTCCTCTTCGTACCTCTGTAGAATTCGGCTGTGAAGCCATCTGGTCCTGGACATTTTTTGGTTGACAGGCGATTAATTGCTGCCTCAATTTCAACTTGTTATTGGTCTATTCAGGCATTCAACTTCTTCCTGGTTTAGCCTTGGGAGGGTGTAAATATCCAGGAATTTATCCATTTCTTCTAGATTTACTGGTTTATGTGCATAGAGGTGTTTGTAGTACTCTCTGACGGTAGTTTGTATTTCTGTGGAATCGATGGTAATATCTGCTTTATCATATTTTATTGTATCTATTTGATTCTTCTTTCTTTTCTTCTTTATTAGTCAGTGTAGCAGTATAGCTATTTTGTTGATATTTTCAGAAAACCAGCTCCTGGATTCATTAATTTTTTGAAGGAGTTTTTGTGTCTCTGTCTCTCTCAGTTCTACTCTGATCTTTGTTATTTCTTGTCTTCTACTATCTTTTGAATTTGTTTGATCTTGCTCCTCCAGTTCTTTAATCATGACGTTAGGGTGTTGATTTTAGATCTTTCCTCATTCCTCTTGTGGGCATTTAGTGCTATAAATTTCCCTGTAGACACTGCTTTAAATGTGTTCCAGAGATTTTGATACATTGTGTCTTCATTTTTATTGCTTTCAAAGAACATCTTTATTTCTACCTTCATTTCATTATTTATCCAGTAGTCATTCAGGAACAGGTTGTTCAGTTTCCATGTTGTTGTGTGGTTTTGAGTGAGTTTCTTAATCTTGAGTTCTAATTTAATTGCACTGCGGTCTGAGAGACTGGTTGTTATGATGTCCATTCTTTTGCATTTGCTTAGGAGCATGTTACTTCCACTTATGGGGTCAATTTTAGAATAAGTGTGATGTGGTGCTGAGAAAAATGTATATTCTGTGTATTTGGAGTGGAGAATTCTGTAGATGTCTTTTAGGTCCACTTGATCCAGATCTGAATTCAAGTCCTGGATATCCTGGTTAATTTTCTGATTAACTGATATGTCTAATATTGACAGTGGGTTGTTAAAGTCTCCCACTATTATTGCTTGAGACTCTAAGTCTCTTTGTAGTTCATTAAGAACTTGCTTTATGTATCTGGGTGCTTCTGTATTGGGTGCATATATATTTAAAATAGCACTTCTTGTTGCATTGATGCCTTTACCATTATGTAGTGCCCTTCTTTGTCTCTTTTTATATTTGTTGGTTTAAAGTCTGTTTTATCAGAGAGTAGGATTGCAACCCTTGGGTTTTTGTTTTTTTTTCCTCCATTTGTTTGGTCGATCTTCCTTCATCCCTTTATTTTGAGCCTATGTGTGTCTTTGCATGTGAGATGAATCTCCAGAGTACAGCACACTGATGGATTTGACTCTTTATCCAATTTGCCAGTCTGTGTCTTTTGATTGAGGCAGTTAGCCCATTTACATTTAAGGTTAATATTGTTATGTGTGAATTTGATCCTGCCATTTTGATGCAAACTGGTTATTTTGCCCATTAGTTGATGCAATTTCTTCATAATGTCAATGGTCTTTACAATTCGGTATGTTTTTCCAGTGGCTGTACTGGTTGTTCCTTTCCGTGTTTAGTACTTCCTTCAGGAGCTCTTGTAAAGCAGGCTTCATGTGATGAAATCTCTCAGCAGTTGCTTGTCCATAAAATATTTTATTTCTCCTTCACTTATGAAGCTTAGTTTGGCTGGATATGAAATTCTGGGTTGAAAGTTCTTTTCTTGGAGGATGTTGAATATTGGCCCCCACTCTCTTCTGGCTTGTAGATTTTCTGCTGAGAGATCCACTGTGAGTCTGATAGCCTTCCCTTTGTAGGTAACCCAACCCTTCTCTCTGGCTGCTCTTAGCATTTTTTCCTTCATTTCAACCCTGGTGAATCTGACAATTATGTATCTTTGGATTGCTCTTCTTGAGGAATATCTTTGTGGTGTTCTCTGTATTTCCTGGATTTGAATGTTGGCTTGCCTTGCTAGGTTGGGGAAGTTCTCTTGAATAGTATCCTGAAGAGTATTTTCCAACTTGGTTTCATTCTCCCCATCACTTTCAGGTACACCAATCAAATGTAGATTAGATCTTTTCACATAATTCCATATTTCTTTGAGGCTTTGTTCATTTCTTTTCACTCTTTTTCTCTAATCTTGCCTTCTTACTTTATTTCATTGAGTTGCTCTTCAATCTCTGACATCCTTTCTTCCGCTTGATTGATTCAGCTATTGAACTTGTGTATGCTTCACGAAGTTCTCATGCTGTATTTTTCAGCTTCATCAAGTTGTTTATGTTCTTCTCTATACTGGTTATTCTAGTTAGCATTTCGTCTAACCTTTTTTCAAGGTTCTTAGCTTCCTTGCATTGGGTTAGAACATGCTTTTTTAACTAAGAGAAGTTTGTTATTATCCATCTTCTGAAACTTGCTTCTGTCAATTCGTCAAATTCATTCTCCATCCAGTTTTGTTCCCTTGCTGGTGAGGAGTTGGAGAAGAGCCATTCTGGTTTGGAGATTTCAGCCTTTTTGCACTGGTTTCCTCCCATCTTTGTGGATTTATCTACCTTTGGTCTTTGAAGTTGGTGACCTTTGGATGGGGTCTCTGAGTGGATGTCCTTTCTGTTGATGTTAAAACTATTTCTTTCTGTTTGTTAGTTTTTTTTCTAACAGGCCCCTCGGCTGCAGGTCTGCTGGAGCTTGCTGGAGGTCCACTCCAGACCCAGCTTGCCTGAGAATCACCAGGGTCTGCAGAACAGCAAAGATCGCTGCCTTTTCCCTCCTCTGGTAGTTTTTTCCCAGAAAGGTACTCGCCAGATGTCAGCCAGAGCTCTCCTCTATGAGGTGTCTGTCAGCCCCTGCTGGGAGGTGTCTCCCAGTCAGGATACACAGGGGTCAGGGAGCCACTTGAGGAGGCAGTCTGTCTCTTATCAGAGCTCAAACACTGGGCTGGAAGATCTGTTGCTCACTACAGAGCTGCCAGGAAGGGACATTTAAGTTTGCTGAAGCTGAACCCATGACCACCCTTTTTCCCAGGTACTCTGTCCCAGGAAGGTGGAGGCATTATTTATAAGTCCCTGATGGGCTGCTGCCTTTTTTCAGAGATGCTCTTCCCAACAAGAAGGGAGTCTAATGAAAGTCTACCTGCAGAGGCCTTGCTGAGCTGCTTGGCCTCTACCCAGTTGCTATGTAAACTTCCCAGTGACTTTGTTTACACAGGAAAAGTTAAAACTGTCTACCTGAGCCTCAACAATGGCAGACGCCTCCCCCTCACCCCACACTGAGCTTGAATATCCCAGGTAGAGCTCAGACTACTGTGCTGGCTGCAAGAATATCAAGACAGTGGATCTTAGCTTGCTGGTCTTCCTGGGGGTGGGACCCACCAAGCCAGATCACTTGGCTTACTGACTTCCACCCCCTTTTTCAGGGGAATAAGTGGTTCTATCTTGCTGGTATTCCAGGCACCATTGGGGTATGAGAAAAACCTGGTGCTGCTAAAACAGCCCCAGTTTTGTGCTGAAAACCCAGGACGCTGGTATCATAGGCACCAGAGGGAATCTCCTGATCTGCAGGTGGTGAACACTGGGGGAAAAGCACAGTATCTGAGCCAGAATGCCAGAGTGTCAGGAAAAGTCCCTAATGGCTTCCCTTTGCTAGGACAGGGAGTTCTCTGGCCCCTTGTGCTTTCCAGGTGAAGCGATATCCCACCCTGCTTCAGCTCACCCTCCTTGGGCTGCAAACCCACTGTCTAACCAGTCCCAGTGAGATGAACCTGGTACCTCAGTTGGAAATGTGGAGATCACCTGCCTTTTGCATCGCTCTTGCTGGGAGCTGCACACCGGAGCTATTCCTGTTTGGCCATATTGGCCCAAGTAAAACTTCATTACAAAAAGAAGGGGAAAATAGATATTGGGCAAATATCTAGAGTATAGACCACAAATACAAATACAAAAATCAAGGGAAAACCTGCTCTTTTCTTAGGTAAGGCATGGTTCTTAACTTTGTAGCATGAATGTCTTAGTCTGTTCAGGCCACTATAATAAAGTACTGTAGACTGGATAGCTTATATGCAACAGAATTTTGTTTCTCATAATTCAATTCAGGAGGGTGGGAAGTCCAAGATCAAGGTGCTAGCAGATTTAGTGTCTTTTTGAGGGCTCATTTCCTCATAAATGAACATCTTTTAGTTATGTCCTCACATGGAAGAAGGGACCAGTGACCTCTATCAGACCTCTTTAGTAAGGGCACACCACCATCTCCATGTAATTTTTAAAATGTTTTTGTAGAGATGGGGTCTCACCATGTTACCCAGGCTAGCCTCAAATTCCTGGGCTCAAGTAGTCCTCCTGCCTCAGCCTCCCAAAGGGCAGAAGTTACAGGCATGAGCCACTACACCCAGCCTTGGGCTCTTAAATTTGTGTAACTAGTGTCCTTATACAAAGAGGAGAAGAGACACAGACAGACACTGAGTAAAGATGGCTATGTGAAGACAGAGGCAGAAATTGGAGTGATGCAGCTAAAGACCAAGGAACATCAATGATTGCTGGCAACACCAGAAGCTGGAAAGCAGCAAGGGAAGGATCCTTCCCCAGAACTTGAAAGAGCATGGCCCTCCCAACACCTTAATCTTGCACATCCAGCCTCATGAACGGTGAGACAATAAACCTCCATGGTTTCAAACCACTCAGGTAATGGTATTTTGTTACAGCAGCCCTAAGAAATGAATACAACTTACCTCCTTTTAATAGTATTAGTCACATAAAATTAATACAGTAGTCTTTTTAGACATCAGTCATTGAAAATATTATTAGTCACTTGCAAACATTATTCTGAGGGATTTCGTGGCATAAAAAACGTTAAGCATTCTTGAGAAATGTGTAAAATTTTTCTACATTCAAAAAGAGTCCTCATAAAGTTTGAAAACTTTCAATTGTATTCCCTCCCTTATTTTTCTCCCTCAACTTGATACAATCCAATCAGTTTTTTTGTTTTGTTTTGTTTTGTTTCTGAGATGAAGTCTGCTCTGTCACCTAGGCTGGAGTGCAGTGGCGCAATCTCGGCTCACTGCAACCTCCACCTCCCAGGTTCAAGCGATTCTCCTGCCTCAGCCTCCCAAATATCTGGGATTACAGGCGCCAGCCACCAAGACTGGCTAACTTTGGTATTTTTAGTAGACAGGATTTTGCCATGTTGCCCAGGCTAGTCTCAAACTCCTGACCTCAGGTGATCCACCTACTTTGGCTTCCCAAAGTGCTGGAATTACAGGTATGAGCCACCTCACCTGGCCAATCCAATCAGTTTTTAAATCTTACCTGTTATATCTCAGAAATATTTCCTAAATCCTGTAGTGGGTTGGTTTGTCCAATGGGCAGCAAGTCAATATACTGAGACACAGGAAACTGCAGCAGAGAAACTTTCATAATCACAGGGGAGCCGAACGAGGAGATGGGAAGAAACCTCA